GCCTGCTTATGCATAAATACATATCTTATAATATTATATTGGTTTGTGGCACATACCAAATATTGGCAGCAAAAACAATAGTGAGAATAAGAGGCGCCAGCGTTTTCTTCTCATACACATATGTAGATATTTAGGAATATACATACATATGTRCATATATAAATAAATTGCCGAAATACCCTAAAGCAAAAAATTAACGCACTTGACGACAAAGRGAGGCTATAAACCATAATAAACGTATTAGATTAGCCTATGCTCAAATCGCTGTGGATTATTTGAAGATTATCTCTTACAAATGTTGTATTCCGTTGAGTACAAATCGTTCGTATGACTCGTGCGAGCATTTCGATTGGTAACTAATATGAACCTATGATTTCGCCTGCCAAGAACCACACCAAACCTTTATTCTGGATGAAATGGCACCTCTTAAATCTTCAGATAGCTCTTTGTTCCAAATGCGACAATTTACCTTGTCTACATACCTATTGAGCCAGAAAAGAGCTTCATCGCTGGAAAAAATTTGGCTCGAAAACGTCGTATTTTCTTGGAACTTTTCAACAGGTCATGTTGACAACTTGTAAACGTTGTTCAGGCGTAAGTCTTTCCATGATGAAATGCCAAACAATACTGAACAAAAATAAACATGACAGCTTTGCACGACTAACGCTTGATTTGTCAAAAAGGCTATTGAAAAAAGAAAAATCGTTATCTTCGGCTGCACCGAACCTAATGTACCCTTCACAGGTGCATTTCTTTTAGTAACTATGTGTTCAGTTTGTATGGAAGCTATATGCTATAGTTAACCGATCGGAACACTTTCTACGGAGATTACACTGTTGCTTTAGAAAATAATCTGTACCAAATTTCGTGAATATATCTTGTTAAATGTGAAAGTTTTCCATATAAGAACTTGATTCCGATCGTTCAGTTTGTATGGTAGCTATATGCTATAGTGTTCCGATATCGGCAATTCCGGATAATGAGCAGCTTCTTGAAGAGAAAATGACGTTTGCAAAATTTCAAAACGATATCTTAAAATCTAAGCGACTAGTTCGTATATATACAGACAGACGGATAGACGGACATGGCTAAATCGACTCAGCTCGACACACTGATCATTTATATATATACTTCTAGGGTCTCCGGCGCTTCCTACTGGGTGTTACAAACTTCGTGACAAACTTAATATACCTTGTTCAGGGTATAAAAAGTACATACGTCTACTTGGATCACTCGTTATGTATTTTGCTAACCTGACATTCAAAATGGTCAGCTGGAATGGAAACTTCATACGCACTTCTCTAAAAACTTTATTTTTTACAATAATACCCACGATTTCTCAGATTATACTGGATTGGAATTGCTTAGAGAGATTTTCTTAAGGACTTGTCTATGTCTGAGACTATCTATATCCCCAAATTGCGATTTGACTATTTTTTCTTTTAATTAGAACAGCCAAAAAAAGTGGTGCAAAAATGGTTTGTTGATAGGCAGTCGCCGTTTTGTATAAATGCCAAGCTACTTTTTCRTGGTTCCAGACATTGTGACATTATTCTAGTTGAATAATATTTTTTTTATTGTTTCAGATTGCTAGGAGGTTTGAAATTAATTGTGTTTATTTTCACGTGCCAATTTTTTGCGACCCTCAACATTGGGAACATTTAGTTTTTTCCTGTATTCTTGTAACGGCACTTCAAAAATTACCCAAAATTCATGGCTCCAGAAATCAAATTTTTGTTCTGGTGCAACACATTTTTTAATTAAGCGATTCTTATGTTTTTATATAACCTTGATTTTGAACTGGTGATCCTCGGATTGATACTCACCTAATCAAGTCATTTGGCTACCCTGTCGCCTTAAATATATTTATGAGATATACATTTCTAGTTTTTAATCGCAACATTAGCGATTATTTTCTTAATTACCGTCAAATTAGATTTTARTTTTACCAAAGTTGAGAGATTTGACATAGTTATCGGGCGATATACCAACGCATATATGTCAGAGTGTGCGTGAAATTCTTGCTTTAGATACACAACTTTATAAATTTGATTTACTGCGAAGACCTTTAATGTCTAATTAGTAAATTATATGATACACACACATATACAAAATATATGATATAGTATATATTAATAGTATATATGTAATTATATACATATATGCATATGCATGAGTAACATCATGCAATTGAAGCAATTTTTGTTATTTTATGCAAAGTACTCACACATTTATTTCTTAAAGCGAAAACTTGTTCTTATACCGCAACAACATCCAACCGCAATAAAGTCTCTTATTTATGGAGCTAACGAACTATTAGTTCTTTATTTACTATTTATATAATAGCATGGTTATTCCTCCCTAATGAGGAATCTTAATTTCCACAAAACCAATTTCGAAAGTAAAAAGTCATTGACTGATTCTGTCCGTACGAAAAATTKTTTGCTTTTTAAGCCATTGGAGAAACAGACATTAGAGAAAATGTCAAATCGACAAGCCTTTGAGAGCGGTGATTCAAACAGCTGGTGCAAGTTTCTTGGACGAGTTTAGAACAAATATACCATAGAAATATTAACATTCGCTTGAAGTATACTAAGTGGGCAAAATATAGCAAGACTTTTTAATTAAAATTATGCACGAAAAACCATTCGACGATGTCTTTTTTCTAGGTTGTTATAACTGTCAGTGGCATCTGCTCATTGGTGTTTAGTATACGCTTGTCTTTCTGAAGTACATAAAGTGCATTCCGCGATTATTACGAAAGGGGTAATTATTCATTAAAGAAGTTCCATTAAAGAAGTTTCATTGGACTATCGAAAGGATCAATGAAAACCGTTTTCAAAGATCATTTGGGCCCAAGAAAAGTGAAAACACGATTGACAGTAATTTTTTTTTAAACAGCATTGCGTTAACGCCTATGAAACAATGCCATATTATTACAGGTGRTAAAGCTTGAATCCATGCTTACGACCCCGAAGCAGATGAATTAGCCGAACAACAACCGAATATCCACGTCAAAGCAGGTCAAAAATCAAGGTTATGTTGATAGTTTTCTTCGATTATGGAGGTGTGTTGCACTACGAATCCCTTCTGACCAACTAAACTGTCAACTAGGAATAGTATTTGAGTCCTATACGTCATTTGCTTTAAACTGTTCGTAAAAAGAGGCCGGAATTAGAGGCCGATAACTCTTGGCTTTTGAGCGACGATAATCCACCGTCGCATTCTGCATTGATTCTTTGTCAGTTTTTCGCCAAATTTTTAAATAAATTGAACAATTATTTGTAAGCACAATTGTAGCCTTGTGAAAGCTCGTCAAGTATAAAAGAGAGAGAATACTGTTTCCTATTCAATCTCAGATTAATATACAATGTTGCATTTGCAACTAATAACAGCCACTATTAACTCCAATACTATTATTAATATGCATTAGTTTGCTGTAATTTGAATTTCTGGAACTTTGTCCGACTAGCTTAAACGCTTTTTTTTTAGAAATTAAAAGAATAGAGTTAACATTTACTAGATATTTGAACCAACAAAGAGGTCTTCTCCTCTGAACATTCATTAGGTGCTTTTCAATTTTCTAATTAATTTTGGTTAACAGAAGCATAGCTCAAAAGCAACTCAAGAGGCGGCCAAATATGATTAGTATTCTACAAAACTTTATTTCATTTCATCAACAATTATCAACGCAGAAAATATTTATAAATACACAAATTTCAGTGGCGAAACACTTTCATTTATATACATACAAGAAGTCATTAAGCATTTCTGTTTATTTGCTTAAAAGAAGTTCGTTTCTTAAGTCTTTTGTTTGTTAACGTCTKCTACATACATACATATGAATGTACGAAGAAAAATTGAAAACGAAAATTTGAAAACACTGTATCACGAACATTTTTGTGAAGCTCGTGAATTCAAATATTATTCGTCCAACGCTACAGTCTTCGAAGAAATTGTTCAAATCAAACCACTATTGCACATAGCTGCCTTTCAAAGTGATCCATAGATTTTCAGTAAGATTTTCCTTATTTAGAAACCCTGATCCGCATTTTGGACGAAGAGCATCCTGAAGAGATTCAAAAGCTGTCGTTTCATCCAGAAAAAACAACGGTTGGTGTGATTTTTAGGCCGATGGAATCATTGGTCCATATTTCTTCGAAAATGATGCCGGTGAGAAGGCCATTATAACCGACTATTTTATGGCTGAAATTGAACTGATCTCGGCAATATTTGGTTTCAACAAGACGGCGCCACTTCCCACACATCGCATCAATCAATGGATTTATTGAGAGAACTCTTCGGTAAGCAGATAATTTCACTTTTTTGGCTGGTCGATTGGCTAGCAAGATTTAATATCACACCGTTAGACTATTTCCCGTACAGGCTTATGGTCTATGCGAACAATCCGGGTTCGATTCAAGCCTTGGAGAAAAACATCACGCGTRTCATTAAAATTTGAACTCAAAGGATGGACCATCTGAGACGTAGCCGTTGCCAATATTTTAAAGAGATAATCTTCAAAACATAAACGCCAAAGAATGTTCTTTCGAACGATAATAAATATTTTCCTTTAGAATAGAAGGAAGTGAAATAGAAGTTAATGTTTTCCTTAAATTTTTTAATAGCATTAACATTTAAGGACCTTGTGTTTGACCTCTAGTGAATATAAAAATCTGAAGGCATTTCYAATCTAAATAAATCACAATTATTAAATCCCCTACCCGTCTAGAACCCTAAACTGTACATACTTGCTCTGATGAAATCGAGAAGCACACCATAAATAACAGAAAACGCGACATCAACCCAGCAAATGYCTGATCCACTGATATTTTCCGAGGTACACTATCAGAACTATYGAAACCTCGTGAAGATTATTGCAGCTATTTACTTAGAGATCGCTTGTAAAGAACAACAACAACTTTCACTCTTAAAACAAGTCAAAAATATSAATTAATAAGTTTTTAAATAAATTAATTGCAAATCAACAATTTACACAATTTTATAAAGGCCCCAGCAGTATATTTTCCAAATTTAATTCAATTGCTTATTACATTTATTTTTTGCTCCGACTAGTTAGCTTGACCCAGTAACCGTTCTTTGGCGCCACCTGAAAGCCACTGTTACCCAACACAATAGGTATCGTTGACTTCTTGCCTGGGACAATGTGAAAGTCRCGCACCAAATAATACAATATTGCCTTTGCTTCTAAAAGTGCGAAACGAGAACCTGAAATAAAAGAAGATTTAACAATAAAAACAACAGATTACATATTAACGTTAGAAAGGAAATAACGCACCAATGCAATTTCTGGGGCCTTCTCCGAAGGGCATATAAGTAAACGGCTTGATTTTGTYTTTATTCGCACTGCTAAAACGTTCGGGATCGAACTTTTCCGGATKCGGAAAGTATTGAGGATCATGTTGTAGACCCACCACGGGTATCATAATAGTCTSACCCTTCTTTATTTCAATGCGTTTACCGTCTGCTTCGAACACAAAATCTTTCGTACACTTCCGATCCAGATTAACGGCGCCTGGCCACTTCCGTAATGTTTCACTCATAACCATATCTAAGTATTTCATGCCCTGCAARGCCTCATAGGTCACCTGTTTCCCCTCAAGGCGTTCGTTGACTTCCGCAATTTCCTGATACACTTTCTCCTGCACCTCCGGATTCTCCATTAGCTCTTGCGTCGCGAAGCAAATCGAAGTCGAGACCGTTTCAAAGCCAGCGAAAAAGAAGATGAAGCACTGCGCTATCATTTCTGTGTCAGTCCAATCGCGACTGTGTGATTTTGGCGAGTCAGAGGGAAAGAGGCCGCGAGCCTCCATAAGTAGGTTAATCATATCGGCGCGACGRATGTTGTGYTCCTTGCGGTATTTCAAAGCATCGAGCACGAGGAAACGGAAGTAAGTCGTTACGCTTGCATCAAAGAGCTCCACTTTTAGCAACTGGAAAAAAGTAGTGAAGTACATAAGCACATTAGTCGCCCATGGAAGAGATGCGGTCTTGAGTTTTAAATTATTTTTTTTTTACTTACYTTCATTAGACTCTGGAAGTGCAGGAAAAGTGTGAACCTTAAATTCAATTTCCAATTGAATGTGGTCGCCTTTTTTCCCAACATATAAAATTGATTCTCTTTATTTTCAAAAGAGTTTACTTGCAGTCCAAACGCCGTTGACGCAATGACGTCGGTGGCGAAACGTGTCGCATAGTCCTTTAACTCCAACTCGACACCCTCACCATGTGCTTCCACTTGCAATTGCTGCAGATATTTTGCACTATCCGCGGCAACCTGATTAATTAAATCGAACATTTGCCGAAGTCGGCTGCCGGTAAAAGCAGGACTGAGGGTGCTACGCATATCTTTCCACTTKTCATCCTTCAATTGGATCAAGGAGTTACTGAAGAGATCATATGGACTGTCACCGAAAAAGTCGCGATGATTTACGAAATGATCAAAGTCTTTGACCGTAATTTTACGCAAAATTTCGGGATCTCGTATAAGGTATATGGGTGTCGTCTGGAAAAATATGCCATAAACGCTGAAATAACAAAAAATAGCTGTTACGATGCTTTCTTACAGGATTATAGGAGATGTTTAAGAGATGAGAGATGAACCGAATATAATAAACTAGAAGCCAGAAAGCTAMCCTCTGAAGATTTCTCACTTGCCTACGAATATGATGGCAGTGGCACAAAGCATTAAGTGAAGATCGTAAAGTAATCGAAGACTTCCTTCATGCCGTATACCAGTACACACCTACTATCGAYGATAACATCGAAAGAAGTAAAGAGACAATGCTTGGAAGTCGTCATGTTAGCACCAGAGAGGTAGTACGGGAGCTAATAGTCTAGACTCAACATAATTTTTTGTTTATGTTTTGGTATTGAGCTTGTCAATGCTAGGCAAAAGACACGAATCTTTTAAAAAGTGTCGTCGAGTGGAAGTCACAAACGAGATGACAACATATTATAATACAATATTTTATTTTTCTGAAGCGTCTAATGATATTATAAACACAATGTAGAATTTCGAGCTAATCGTCTATATCATTCTTAAAAAATAATGAAGAAATTCTCAGTACTTTAAATTTTGGTTAAAAAAGGTGAAGATTGCATTGCAAGCCACCAATGAAATTTGTGAAATTTACGGAGACGATGCTGCATCCGTTCGTGTTGCACAACAATGGTTCGCTTGCTCCCGTTCTGAAAATTTCGATGTGAAAGATGCACCTCGCTCTGGTCAACCTATCGTTGGAAAAGTCGATGAAATTATGTAAAAGATTGACCAGCACCGTCACATAAGCAGTCATGACATCGCTAATGAATTCATCATTAAACGGTTTTGCACCATTTATAACAGGCTGGCTRCAAAAAGAAGTTCGATGTTTGGGTACCACATGAATTGTCTGTGCCAAATTTAATGGACCGAATTAACATCTTCGGTTCTTTGCTGAAACGAAATGAAATCGAACCATTTCTGAAACGAATGGTAACAGAAGATGAAAAGTGGATCAAAAATGAAAATAAAGTGCGAAAAAAATCATGGTCCAAGCGTGTTGAAGCTCAGCAAATTGTCACAAAGCCAGGATTGACGCCTCGAAAGGTTATGCTGAGTGCTTTGGTGGGATTGGAAAGGAATCATCCACTATGAGCCACTCCAGCCTGGTCGAAARATTTATTCTACATTTTACAGTCAACAACTGATGAGATTGAAGCAAGCAGTCGAAAAAAACGACCAGAACTGATCAACAAAACTTCCATCAGGACAACGCTACAGCACACACATCTTTGATGACTCGGCAAAAACTGGGAGAGCTTGGCTGGGAAATTTTGATGCATCCACTCTATAGGCCTGATCTTTTATCATCGGATTACCATTTGTYTCGKTCAATGCAGAACTCYYTTAATGGAGTAAAGTTGGCTTTARGAGAAGTGAAAATGTGAATGTGAATGTGAAGTGAAAAAATGGAAAAAAGTGATCGACCAAATGGTACATATAAAAAAAAGTTGAATATTGATTAGAAATGCGAAAATTCTTTTTCGACTACTCAATATATGATAGATATAATATGTACGATAATGCCAAAGTGTGCGCTCCCATAACAGTCTGTTCAACAGGAGTGGACGCTGATTTTTATCAGGCCCAATAATGCCAGCATTCGATCAAATAAATTTGAGTAATGTTTTCTTCTCCCACAACAACAACAGCATGTTGTGCTGAAAAGAGCATAAAAGCTGTTTACCGCTCATAAAGTCCAGTTAAACATTGTCATATACTATAGCCATAACCAGCCTTATGTGCTACAGAGTATAAAAAAGCTTTTACACAAAAAGTAATTGCATTTCGTGCCCGAAGCTTTTCATATAGAAATGCTGTTGCATTTCTGGTGAGCAAAAGCACTTAATATCGCACTTTGCTCTCCTATAATCTTGCTTSATTGCTATTCTAATTGTATTGAAATTAATCGTAGTTAATTATGGTATAGTATACAGCGCGTTCCAAAAGTAATGTTTTGTTTTCCAAAGTGTAGGCAGCGATTATTGGTAAAAATATTGTAATTATAGAAAATATGTTGTTTTGTTATATTAGCTAACGTCTACTCAATACTTATTCCGATCTGCCTGACACCTTTTATGACAACTTGCAACTAAGTTTTCAGGACCCACTTTATTGAAGTAGCCGAATAATGAAACCTTTTCTTGACGTTAAATATTTCCTTCATATTTCGCTTTCGTAAAAGCCCAAATATTGTCGTCTGGTGTCTGTGCTGGCCAATATAAAGTAAGAATATTATCTTGTTTTCTATTTTCCGGATCTTGCAGTATTCAACCATGATTATCTAAAAGTTGTAAGGCATTTCAGCTGACTTCAGTAAACTCTTTTTATAAAAAAAAAATTGTATCATTGTAACAGCGTTCATGTTTTCTGTGAAACATCTTCACCTCCAAACCCCAAACTCCAAATTCTTGAACAGAGAAGCATATTTGTCCTTTTCTTAGCCAAACACCTCTTTAGGGGTTAAACATACAGAAGTGGACTCATCTGTAAATATTACACTACACCAATCACGGTTGATATTTTTCTGCGCCCAATATTCTTCCTTCCTTTTCTTCAATGTGAGTTTTTAAAAGTGGGGATTACTTTTCTGCTGGGTTTGTGTGCCGCATTGTATTCATATATAATCGTGTATATAATCCTACTTAGACAACTTGTTTCCTTCCTCTCACTGTCTTGTCATCTTGGGATGCTTMGTTAGAAAGCCTGCTTATTCTTTCTTATTTCAGATCGAAAAAAGCTGTTCAAATGGTACACTTCACGTTAATTTTTGAACAGACTGTATATGTTAGGTGTGTGGAATGACTAAGGCAAATGTCTGAAATGTTTACACGCTCCTGCACCACAGCAAAACAAACATATTACTACTGCGTCTTATTTATTATTGATAATAATACAAATAATATCTAATGAATCAGCTTGTAGATAACTGCTGCAACAACGACAACAACAAACCAGCTTATAATGAGCCTATARTTGATATTTACAGTAATAATAGTTGTTAAAAACCAGCTGATTTATGTATTTATTTGTAAGCAGACTAGTTCCTCAGATTTAGTCGAAATCACCGATATGCTATGGCATATACATACATACATATGTATATAGTCGTCATACAAACGGATCGATCAAAATCAAGTTCTTGTATCGAAAAATTGTATGCTATAACCGCACCTGAGCATCAATGCAGTCCAAGTGGATGCTTCACGACAGTCAAGTCTAAGTAACCGGAACGCACCCGGATTTCTATCCGGGCAAGGAGTGTCAACCCGGCAGCATTCCTCGCTAATGCTTAAGAAATATTTTCCGCCGCCACAACAACAACAACAATTGCGTTTACGGTACTTTAACTCACCTGCCTTTGTGCTTGTTATAGAGATCTTTGATGGTATAAAATATGGAGCTCCGACGCAGGGTAATTTGGGTTAAACTGCCAAACACCGGAAACGGTTTGTCGTACGGTATTCCACGCTTTTCGAAAAAGTCGAAATTCGCTGTGGCCCAACGATAMAATAAATATAGCAAAATCGAGCCGAGGAATAAGGCTTCCCACAACATTTTGTACAATTATAAAGAATACACTTGGTTTGATTGACGTCTGCCGCGTAACTAATTGAAACTATGCAACTGAGCTGCGTTTTTACCATAAATGCTAGGCGCATTCTCAAGTAGGCGGGAGAATACATAMATATTTTTACATTTATCACTAGAAAAACAAACAGTTATCAGAGCTTTTTCAGAAGCTTTATTCGACAAAGCGATAAATACTTAATAAATATATGTGGACACTTCTATTTTACTACCAAAAATATAAASAAAGGCCGCCTATCAGCCACCGGTGTGATAAGGCTCAATCGCTTCTAGCGGTGCAACATGGATAATTATTTGTGAAATTGCAAAATTRTTAAATTCAACAATAACAAGTGTATAAATTTCATCCAACTTTTTGCTTAAAGTAGTTTTTGTTGCTGTTGGAGCACAACAGCGTATATGGGATACGCCATACACTTGCCCTCCTTCAGTGAATCACGCAGCCAATCGATGCTTAAGTGCCGCGCCGTMGGTTTGTATTGATACCTGTGAATGTTTGCACAAATACAATTACAATTAATATGAAATTCAAAGTGGAGAATAGTTCTCACCTAAGTGCGCTGAAGTCATCACTGGAGAGTAGTGTCGCTGCGTGAAGCACAATATTTGCATCGTTTGAGTTTTTGGTCACTAAACCACCGTWCGACACAAAAGCACACTTCAACTGCTCATCGTCTGCTTCGCTGCCAAAGTGTGCCACTAAATTCTTAAATATATCACTTTTCTTTTTCACAACACCACCGCAATGTTGYGTTTGAGATTCTGTCTTTATGTCGATATTCTTAACGAAATCCCTAAATTTATCTTCTTTCTTGCCGAGCGAACTTAAATCCAATTTCGTTTGTTTACCTAGCTTTTCTTCAATCTTCACCTTGGTTGCAACATTTTCCGGCTTCACATTTGGGCTCTGTGTTTTTCGTTTCTTATTATCACTCAATTCTTTGGCCACCTCGTCAGCTCTTCTCTTCAACTTAACGCTACTTCCTGGTAGGTCATCGTCCTCATTGGCACTTTTGGACTTTTTCTTTGGCGTGAGATTAATTTTGGAATCAATTTCTTCAATTTTCACATTTACCACCCCATTCCTATCCTCACAATTTGAAAGCAACAAATCAACGTTCACATCATTCTTTGAAGCCTCAAAAAGTTTCTGCAGATATTCCAAATCGTTGGCATGGTCGGCAGATTTGTCTACGCGCAGCCTCGTTATGCGTGGAAATCGTATGGAGATCCCTGCCGCAGTGTGYGCCTCCGATTTGGTGAACTCTGCACCCGTTATCTCCCAAACGGGCATTTTATTCGGTACCTTTGCTAAATAATCTGGCACTAGCGCCTTTTTGCATAACAGCCAGTTGGGCATTTGGTTTGGATCAGCACGCTCCATTAAATTCATAAGCTCCTCATGCACTCTCTCGTTTTCGGCATCATCTAGGCCGGAGTGGACTTTGGTAACAGTCTTCCAGAGCATATCTCTACTGTCATAGCAGCCCATTAGGAATATACTTAAAATACCGCCTTTTTTGCCGGAACCAAACCAAGCGCCCAGCACAACCAAGTCCGCGGTGTCGGCCATTTTGCCGCCGAAAAGGTAGTCCTTCTTTACTTTCAGCCAACCACGTTTGCCGGGTTGGTAGGTGCCATTCGGATTCTTCAACACCACACCTTCGAGATTTGCTTTTAGGACCTATAAAATGAGCATATTTACAATAACTACAATATTCTTATAATTCAAATGCATGCAATATTTCAACCATACCTTGGCGGTCATCAGCGATAACTCGTTCTTAGTTTTTAGAAACTGACTTTCTGATAGCTCAACACAAGATTTTATGGGATTTATATTTTCCTCTAATATTTTTCTGCGTTTGTGGAAAGGTCTAAACAAAAACAATTGTATTAGTATTATTAGTTGTATTTTTTGTAATTTTGTAACTCATTTCACATACACGTTTGTCAAGTCCTCTCCTTTATAGAGCAGACAGTCAAAGGTGAAAATGCACACCTCTGCATGGGAAAATTCTTTCTTTTTATGCGCTCCTAGAGTACCGAATGGCAGTAAACTACCAGTTATGGTATCGACTAAAATGATTTCTGAATCCAAAATCATGTCGCCGCCTCCTGGAAAAGCCTTTAGGAAACGATATAATTTTTGTAACAATGAAATTACAGAAATATGTAAATTTGGCTTACCTTTGGTATGAGTTCATGAAATCTTTTGATTTTATGGTCCATCACTGGCTTTAAATTTCGGCTGAAGAACCTAGAAAAGCAAAATATTTCAAAACGCTACATTTKTTATGTAACTCATAAAATACTTGAACTCGCTCCCACGTTTGTGTATTTGCACGCGCTCTCCATCGTATTTTATTTCAGTATATAAGCCGTTTGGACATTTTTTAAAAGCTTCTTCAACGGATTTGCAGGCATTAGCTAGCATAGGAGAGATRGGTGTCATTACTTGTACGCACCCAATTTTACAAGTTATCTTGAAAACGARACTAGATGATACAAAAACTGCTAAATATCTTTAAAAACAATTTACTTTTGTTGCTTTAATAGGAGACACTACTTTTTGCTTCCCCGTACCGGCGAATTGTTTGACGACTGCAGTCAAATCTCGAGACGATTGATAGGCAGGGTAAGCGAGTGGCCCAAATGCATCGAGAATGTGGCGCGCGCCGGCGTTTATACGCAAATCCTGCTTGATGAGGCGTACAATCTATATAATGGTATTATTTTGAAGATTTTGTTTTTCGAAAATAAGATAGAATTAAATATTTTTCACACACCATTCTTAAATCCAAAGCAGTTGCTTGCTTGCATAATTGCTGCAGCAGATCGGTCTGTTCMTCCTCTTTAGTACGCTGTTCCAGTTTTATAAGAAACTCGTCAACGTCTTGAAGATAAAGTGTGCTTTCTGTTTGCGGTTTCAGTTTTTTTGATAACTCAAAATACTTGCGCAACGTTTCGGAAACATCACCATCTGAAAATATTTCCCGTCATAGTTCATTAACATTAGCTTTTGGAGACTAGGAATTTATACTAGCCTTGCTCCAGCGCACGTTGCATCTCCTGCGGCTCGCAAGCAAATATACGCGAAAACAACTTCAGCATTTGTTTGTTTTGTAAATTGTAGACCCGATGACTCGCACCAGGTATTAGCATTTGTATCCATAATAGCGTGTCGCCTTTAAAACTTTTCCGATCTGAACCTTTATTTAAAAACTCTTTCAACAATTGTGCTTTGCTGTTGTAACTACGCTCTTCACCAATTTCATCACAGATGCGGCGAAATGTTTCCAGCCGGTTGTCCYGAGTTTTGCTCATTTCTTTCGAAAAAAATCGGCTTGCTCGTATTGGGGTGGCAAATAGTTTTGTAAATAAGTTAATTTGTATAATTTTTAACATTCAAATACAATTTAAAAACTTAATTCAAACAATTTTTTCCTATTTCTTTTCACAGAAAATTGCAAACAAATATTTGATTCGCGTGTAAACAAATCCGGCCGTTTTGACACAGCTCAGCTGTTCCCCCCAGTACCAAATGTCAACATCATTCCARTGTTGACGCCCTCTAGAGTGCAGTGTCGATTTGAATTTTACGGTGGCGCCGACGAGAGGGTTCAGGCAAGTTCGGAAAATTAGAAATGCAACGTTTTTTATTCATTCCAAACTTTCAGATAAAATTTTTAGACTTCCACATTCCGGCGGAAAATAAAAACGCTACAGAATGCAAAGCAAATGATGTGCTACAGCTTCTTACCCAAGTGCGTGGGAAATATGAACCAACTGAAACATTTTGTGGAGCATTTCTACCCAAGCCAATCATGTCGAATGGACCGAAGATGTTACTTCAATTTATTGGTCGGTATCCGCCTACTGGCTCGAAAATCAATTATTATGGTTTCAAAGCAGAGTATAAGTTCGTAAAAAGTACGTTGACATTCAACTGTATAAAATTCATTAATTGTCATAATCCAATAAGTCCAATAACTATTTTCAGATTTCGGTATATCCACGGGACAGCAGGTGGATGAAAATTGTACCTTCACTTATAATAGTACAGATCGGAAATCAGGATGGTTTGGGTCGCCTAATTTCCCCGGTTACTACCCACAAAATATGATTTGCCATTATTACTTCTATGGCGAACCTGATGAGCGTGTCATCATACGATTTACTTTCTTTGATGTTGAGGGTATCGGCACGTGAGTCCGCTTAACTTGCATTAATTACATTGAATACAATACGAAATTGTGTGCTTTTAGTTGCGAATATCTGACAGCAAGTGATTATGTGGAATTTTCGAATTTTATGAGCACGGATCGCAAATATGGACGATACTGTGGGAAACGTGAAAAATTTGAGGTGCGCTCAGATGGTCGATTTTTCCGCGTTTCCTTCTATTCAAACGACCGTTTCGATAAAACTGGTTTTCGTGCTCTCTACGACTATCAAGGAAAAAGTTCACGCGTGGAAAATACTTCAATGCAGAGCTATATATCTGGCAGTTGTGGTATTCTCAAATCATATTGCAGTCTTCATAATGCATTTACTCTGATATTATTGAAATTGTTTACAAATTTCAAAGCAATAAATTAAAGAAGTTATATAACTAACTGTGTTTTACAGAATTTTTGAATTCTCTTGGTAGTAATGGTAAGTGTTTTGAGAATCATTAAACTTTTGCTACTTAAACAGTCTGGTCTTAGTATTCGGAAGAACCCCTATCTGGTCATATAAAGTTTCAAATTTTCGGTTAAGTTTTCAGATTCTGTGTAAGTTTTGTAACGAAAAATAAAAATACTGTTGAACTTCAAATATTACATTTTCATGAATTGGAATTCTTAATACGTTGCAACACTATAAATGGAAGTCAAATTTCCAGACGTCAAATTTTCAAATTTTGCGCGCCACATACGCGAATAAACAAATAGCCAAGCAACAGCTGATACGTTCGCTTATCTTTCACCACACTTGAAGGTCGTGGTGAATATTAGCCGCTTGCGTTGAGTTTTTATTCCAATAAGAGAAAATTCTTTAGTCTTTTTTTGACTTTCGTGCGGTTTGGTTTGYTGGTGGTTTCGTTCGCGGCTACCAAAAAATTTGAGCGGTGCTTGCCCAGTTCTTCGCTTGAAGAAAAGGCTAATCAAAACCAAATAAAGTAAAAAAAAAAAAAATATCAAGGATTATCCCGTGTCCTACGCAAAAGTATTACGAGGTTTATTGCCACTGCCTTTGAACGAAAATATTTTGCCACCGGAAATTGCAACGTTCGCATTCAGTTGAATTGCAGCAAATAGAGCTTAAGTACGAGAAGTGCACAACTAAATTATAAGGCCGCTGACAAAATGCTTTCACGTCCAATGTAAGTTTTCCTTCAATGTCAGTACAAATCACCGACAAGCTAAATGCTAGTATACGTATATAAAAGTTCTTAATATTTGTATTTATAATTTGGATAAAACGAGCAAGTGAAGAAAATTCGCTATTAACTTATGCAACGATGGCCTAGCAGGTGGTACATGGCTGGCGTGTGCGCGCGAATGTGGTGYGAAGACAATTTGGTTGGCGTTGATGTTCCGGTGTGCATTTCAACAATTGCATATGTAGTGCAAGCTCATATGTGCTGATGTGGATATGCATGCAAGCATCATGGTCATTATCATTGACCCACTGTACACATTACCTGAGCGACTAGATTATAGCGTGCTTAATACCAGTGGCTTCGCCAACCTTGCTCCAGTTTAAACTGCTTCCCTGATCACACTCATTTACTTATATGCATATATGTATAAATATATATAGTATGAATATACGTGCATCTTTGTTTATGCAATTTGCTAGTAAATACAAATTGCTGGGTGTTTCAGTTAACTACAGCTGTTGGCATGTTGACGCCGCTTTGTCTAGTCGCTTCCTTTTTATATGTGTACATATGTGAAACTATAAATATTATATATACAATTATCTCTCAGAAGCTATATACAAACTATGTAAATATGAATATAATTGCCAAACCCCCTTCTAGCACCTGTTTGCCCGCACTTCATATCTGTCAGCCATTCTGGTCATGCGATTTGCCTTCACTGTATAAGTCCATAAGTGTTTTAGTTTCAGAGATAAAAATTGCCTAAAATAATTACATAATCGGCCAAAATATTTCGTTGCTTCGTTCTTAAGTATTATAATGAGCATATTTTTTCTTGGCATTGAAGAGGCAAAAGAATATGAGAAAAAGTCGACGTTCGGCGAACTYACTTCATTTGCAGACGCACATAATACTTGTTAAATATTTAAAGCGTGTGGATGTGGCTACATGAAAAATCAATAAATACACATTCGTACATAGTAAGTGTACGCCGTGATATGTGTGTACCATATGTGTGTATATGAGTGATGAATTCATGAATATACATACTTATTTACACAAGAGCGTGTATTAACATTTGAATTATTTTTTTTTTTATCATTGTTATTTTTATTTGAGTGATATTTTGTGATATTCGGTTAAAATTTGTGAAAAAAGAATACATTACATTTTAATTTCTTTTTGAAAATCACGACTTTTTAATCAGAGTATATCAGTCTTAACAAATTAAATTTATAACAAATTGTCAATTATTATTTGCACTTAGCCCAAGGTCATTTGCACCTTAATGCAACAATATGAAGTTCTTATTTTTATTAAAAYCATATGGGAAAATTTTTTAATCATAATTTGCAGTTTCCGCTTGTTTCACGTATTGAATCCATCTAAGTTTSTTTTCTGAAAAATATRGGTATACATATRTATGTATATATTCTGCATATATGTACATATAAATATAAACACAGCATCTGATCAGCCTGTGACAGTGTTGAGCTTCATTCACAAGGCAAAAAATTCCATAAACAAATAAATTAATTTTATGTTTGCAGTATTTATGCCGTTATGGTCTGGAYTTTGTTTTGGCGAAAATTTTGCAAATATGCGAAAGTGTTTCATTGTGAAGAATGTATGTACTATATACATGTACACATGTTAACAATGTATAGTATACGAGAACTTAGAAAATCGTTTCGCTTTTTTTCAACTTGAACCCAATTATGATAAATTAATAATTATGTGTACATGCACTAATTATGCAGATTTTAAAATACCGAAAATCTTTGAATTAACAAATTTGAAAACCTTCTAATTAGTTTGTACATTCTCTTTTTACTGTTTCTGGCACAATTGCTTACTCYCAGAGATTGTTTCACTTTTTTCATTTATTTTGCGAGGTGAAAGAGAAAGTATTGTTGATCGCAAAAAACTAGAAGTGGGTGTTTCTGAGAAAGTAAATATTTGTAAAAAAAAAAACAAAACAAACACTTTTGGCAGCTAAATGCTATTCAAATGTTCACATATAATTTTATTTGTATTCACACTTCCACACATACAGCCATGGACAGAGATTTAGCGCACTTTCTTAATGTGAAATGTGATACTTAATAATGTTATATTTAAAGAAAGTAGAATCGTTATAATGTAAAAAAAAATTAAAGTTGTCCAAAATTTCTAAGTTTTCTATAATAAAAATACAACGTTTTGTTCAGTTTGGTTTGAACAAGTATTTAGCGCACTTTAAAACATCAGTAAAGAAAAATAAATATTATTAGCACGTGGCGCGAAATTTCTCTGATATTATATCTAACTTGGTTAGCACTTAGTGGAATAACCGTTATTCGTTATCACCGCTTCACATCTGCGTGGCGAGCTCTCTCTTAACCTTTGGCATCTGTCCAAAGGAATAGAGTTCCACGCTTCCTGTACCCCTGCCCAAAGCTTTTTAAATTTTCTTTGCCCAACTTTTGACTTTCTTTGACATCATTCCACAAGTTCTCGATCGGGTTTAGATCACACATTTACCACATTTGCTGTATGCTTGGGATCGTTGTCGTGCATAAAGATCCAGTTTACAGGCTTAATATCATAGGAATATAGCTCCATTGTATTCCTCAGTATATTAAGGTATGCAAATTTATTCCTATTCCCTTCTATCTTTACTATGGTCCAACTCCACGCCATGAAAACGACCCCCATACTTTTAAATTTCCTCCCCCATGCTTTACGGTCTTTTTTGCGTACCTTGGATTRACTTCTTGKTTTTTTTTTTCACAATGTACAAATGTTTTATAATCAATACCAATCCGGTTTATTTTAGTTTCGYCCGTAAAAAGTATGATTTTCCAAAAATTTAAATATTTTGATCTATGGCTAATATTTTTTTCAACAAAAGCGGTTTTTTTCTGCTAACACGTACATATGTACATACAAATTATTTTCTTTTAAACGACTTCGTACTAGTCTACTTGTTTTGCGAGGGTTAGCCTTACGAAGTTTATTTTGTTTTAACAAATTTGCATCACTCTTAATATTTTTTATAGCATTGTGCAGCATTTTTCTTGAACATTTTACTATTTGAGAAATTTTTACTTGATTTGTATCGTTTTTGTAAAGGTCCTAAATAATTTTTATTTTTTTTCAATCGAACAGTATTTCCCTCTGGCCATTTTATTAAAATTTGTAATATTACTAAAACTATTGAATAAAGTTCACAACTGAGATTAATTCTTTGTTCGACCAAACACAACTAATGATCGAAACCTGTAAGTGCGCTAAATCTCTGTCCAACGAATTTATGACGAAATTTAACAAAAACAAATTAACGGTATCTGAGGGGAAATGATAACGGTTATTTTCCATGCATTTAAGGGGTTAGGGTAGTCAGAGGCTCGAAAAAATCAGAATTTTCAGCATTTTTTTGTTGCTATTAAATCGTGTTATTTTACAAAAGTAGTAATATGGCATTATTATAGAATATGTTGACTTGAAGTCACGAAAGTCTTCAAAAAAAAAGTTTAATTTCCAAAGTTATATTATAGTTGTTTGTGTTGACCCAGTTCCAAAAAACGGTGCTTGCGGTAACAACCATAAGTCCTTGGAACTTCATCTAAAATCAATCGGACAAAAAAATTTTATTTCATAAATAGATAATCCTGGGCCTGATCGGATGATTTTTTATTTTTTGAAAAATTAACAAAATGGCGGCCTCAGGAAATTTTTTTCTAAATTTTTGGGAAAAAATCAACAATTGGKCTTAAAAAATCKAAATTTTTGGAAAAATAAAAATCCTTCGRTCAGGCCCGAGTTTAYTATGTATTCTAAAAGCGGTATAAATTTCATTAATATCTACTGAGCGGTTTTCGAGTTACAGTTGTCACCAGTTCAAAAAACATAGTTTTGAGAGAATTTCTAAGATATTACACTTAACGAAAAAAACTAATTTTTTWAAAATTCTGACTACCGCTAACCCTTTAAAGAGGCGACAGAAGCAGTATTGATCTACTAATAACAAATTCATGAAAATATCGCTCTCTATGTAATTATGCATGCAAGTGCGCTAAATCTCTGTCCACAGCTGTATGTATGTATGTATGTATATACAAGAATTGTTATGTACATATGTGTTTGGTTGAAAGATAWGTTAGTACGCATTCGGATGGTTTTATACTGCATTCTTTTGGATGCAAATCGTAAATCTTAGAAAAATAGCAAATTAAGCCCGAACAAACGG